AATTAACCAAAAATGGCCGGAGCCACTAGCTATTGGAAGTCGACCTTCAAGACTTATTGTTTGTATGCGATATTTAATTTATTGTTTATATTTATTTTTGTTTCATAATTTTCCAATTGTTAATTCCAGTGGCAAAACAGCCTGAAAATGAGGCAGTGGAGAAAGGCTTAGTTCCGATGCAAGATGTATAGATGACCTTTTATGTTGTCGATAGTTTAGTTTTGATTATGTTAACTAAGTTATTAAATCTAATTACTTTTAAGCTCAACATGAAAGACATAGTTGATGATTTTTTTCCTGGTTCAAATTTTCAATCTACTGGTATTAGCTGATTCAATTCATTTGGAAAATTATTCAACAGTAAAGTTATTTCCTTTTTTTTTTGTATAGTATACTTAATGATGTTCCAGTATAATAGAATTTTGATCATACGATACATCAAACGTTTGTTTATATTCTTACAACATCAAAACAATGCAATTTGTTGTCCCGTGCATCGCACGGGTACAATTACTAGTTAATTCTAATATTTATAGTTAGTTCTTATCCTATTTATCTAGGTTTTGTTCCTCCTTATTTATATAATATTATTAATACAAAATGGGAAGAATATTTAAAGCTAACAATTACTAGTAGCAAGTATAAATTATGTTTGACTTGAGCTCACCTAATACACAATACTAGGGGTGTAAATGAGCCAAATGTGCCAGATTTTTCGAGCTCGAGCTCTGGTCAAATTTGGTAAAAAAATAATTTTTACATATATTTTCTTTTTCTAATTTTTACATAATATTAATTTTAGTTTTTATTACAAATTATTAATATGAAAAATAAAACAGTTGTAGAATAAAACATATATATTATTGTTATATATATTAGTTATTGGGATGTTAAAAAAATTATATAATAAAAAGTACGCGACCCGGCTCATGAGCTCATGAACAACTAAAGATGGGCTCAAGCTCGAGCTCATCGGAAAGATTGAGCTCGAGCTTTTGTCGAGCCAGCTCAGTTCATTTATAATTATACCCCTACGCACGACACAGAAGGATGCAATGATGCATCAATTAGCAAAAAAAAGTTACATTCGGTATATAGATACAGATACGTACCTGTTGTTAATTTACACACTATATAATACTCAACGGACATCTATCAGATATAATGTCGAATCTCGCACTAAACTTTCCAATTACGACGACTAAAAAAATCGTCTCATCCGACTTCCTGGACTTGTTTAATAAGCTCTAACATATGCAGCATTACGCAGTAACTACTTCTTCCCCGTGTTTATCGTCTAGATTGAATTCAAGTATATGAATAGTATATCGGATGTTCCATAATAACACGCAATAAACGACCAATAAACATGTCCGACATCAATTCGCACGAGTTATCCATTCTCCAAAAAAGTGAAAATAATCACGCAAGGCAGACTCTATACCATGAAAACATGTTTGACATTTTGACAACATCCAAATTATGTCTACTTCACGCAATGGTTATATGTCCAAATTCCACATGACCTATCGGAAACAATTTCCTGTTAGTAATTACTTAATAGTAATTCAACCAAGTAAGAATCCAATTTCTCGACAAAATTCACGATCCAGCATCTCCGGCTTGTTATTAGTACTATAGAATATAAACGAGAAAATTTCGCCTAGTCATCTTCTGCAATGTTAAGGAATTCTTCATTCTTGAGAATTGACAGCAGAAAATAAACGAAATATAAGGGATTGCAAGTTAATCAAGAAACTCATTACATAACCTCTGAATGCAGTAAAACACGAAACATCAGGAAAAGCACAAATTGTTCAGTTTTTTTTTTCCCCGACGCCCATGATTTCTTAGTCTAAAATGACTACTATCTTAAACACGGTTACGTATATTTTCATTTTTACCAAGGAAGTATTAAGGACAAATTCGCACGTGTATAGGAGGTGGCTAAAATACAAATTTCATAAATTCTTTTACCGTAAGCCACCTCTACATTGTTTAATGACTCAATCGTTGAACGCAGTTCGACCCCCCTATAGCAAACACCGGAATACAACATAGGTAAAATCGTATAAGTAAAAGAAGCAAGAAATCGATCCAAATACACAAAGGCAACAACAACATTTCGAAAAAGGCCATTTCATGTAATAAGACCGGCGTAAAATAACGAAAATACAAACAGTACAAATTATCTACAATGTGGTAAGAGCAAGTATAGTAGCCCTGCAGACAAAATTATTATTACAAAAACTAACTACCCCCACCGGAGAAAACAATAAAAACCATGATTTCCCAATCGAAACAGAAAATCAATCAATCAATAAATCAATCAAGAAATTCAAACTCATCTTCCCTTAAATGAGCGGAGAATTTCACGGGCTTACCGTCACGCCCGGGTAAATCATCGGCCACAAACTCGATCTTGTACGGCAAATTCGCAGATATTTTCTTACCTTTATGAACGCCGACGTACTGCTTCAAGACTCCAACTTTACCCGTCAAATCGAGCTCCGGCAATTTGGGGATATGGTAGACTACGAGCGGCGCCTTGACCCGAACCTTCGCCCCCAATTTCGATTCGGCTTTCTTCAGCTCCTCGTCGTTGATGCTGTCGTGATCTAGGGTTAGCGAATTGGAGATGGTGGCTGAGTTGCACGAGCACGACGGCGATGGGGAGGCGTCGGCGACGGAAATGCGGTGTCCGGAGGTGTGGAAATTGGGGGGAATTTGGGGTTTTCTGACCCCGGAGTTCATCCTGCGGGAACCCAAATTAGGGTTTGTGATTTTGGAATTGGGGAAGTTGAGAATCGAGGAGAAGAACGCCGGAGATGTAGCCATGGCTGCGATCTATCTGGTGAAGGAATTTCGAGATTTCTTTGTGGGTTCAGATCGATTGGAATTATAAAACAAAAAAAAAAATCGGTGGATTTTTATACATACATATATATATAATATGTATGTATATATATGTGTATATATATCTACTCAAAGAAGAAAAGGGGCATTTATTATTATCCAATTCATATGGCTGATGAGAGATTTGGTGGATGCTCAATAGAATTTTGACACGTGGCCGACCCCATTGGAGTAGAATTGAAGAGACCTTCTTTTTAACTTATTGGGCTTTTAATTGTATGGGCTACATTGCTTGCAAGCTTGTGCTTGATATTTACAATAAATAAATTCTCAAATAGATTTTTATTTTTTTACCGAGTAGGGATGAAAATCGGACAGATCGAATAGTAATCAGTACTTTCGTAAATTTTTAGGGTTTTTTTACGGTGGAAAACTCATTACACTTCGTTTAAAAGAATGGACAAATTGAAAATTGGAATTTTAGAAATTAAAACGAAAAAACTTGTTCAAAAATGGGAACTTTGGAATCGAAATCTACATTTTAATTTGTATTCATGTATGATAAAAAATGTATAATAGTATTGGTATTTTAAGTGTAATTTTTGGAAAATAATATGAATTTTATGAAATGCTTTTTAAAATTAAAATCATATCGGAAATTATAAGATAATGTATATTCTAATTTTGTTGAAAAAAAGAAAAAGGAATCGAAACTTTCGAAATTCATAATGAAAAATATTATTTAGAAATCGAAAAAAATCAAGAATCGGTGGAATTTAGAATCCTATAAATTTTCAATTGGTATGATTTTTTTGTTCAATTACTTCATTCTTAGTTTTTCTTTATTTGGTCCAACAATAATTAAAAATTATATTATTAAATATGTATCAACGAAAGATAATATTTTAAAATTTAATTGTTTTGAAGTATTGCATTTTTTAATAGAATTTTTTAAAATACAATTTAATTATTGTTTTCTGTTATTCCATCCAATAAATCACAGCCACCCCTTAAGGTAATGTTAAATAACGATAAAATCTCTATTGTTTGGGTAATTACAACCACCCCTTCAACTACGATTGCATTTCCACCCTTATAATGTCACATTCAACATAATTTTATAGATTTCGTGGAATGTTCTCTAGTTTGTTCTCGTTTTGTGAAACAATGTAGTTTACTGATGCACCACAATCTGATATTTACAAGCCAATAAGACACATCTTATGATCATCTTGTTTCAAACGTGGAGCTCGAATGGGATAAAAGGGGTACAAACTAGAAGATTCCCCTAAATTTAACACTGCAAGGGTGAATATGTAAGAAAATTCGTAGTTGATAGTCATTATAATATTATAGACCTTATCTTATAGAAGATTTCCCTAAATTTAACATGATTAGTTTTTTCGTAATTTAGACCTTATCTTATAGGGGTGGCCATAATTTATCCAAAAAATTAAATACAAATTAAACGATGCTTGAAGAGTTAAATATTACAAGCGATACTTTAGGGGGTAAATGTTAAGTATGGCATACTTTAGGGGTGTATTTAACCCTTAAATAAATAATTATGGAACATGATTTAAATAACTCGGCCTTTATTTTCCTGTAATATACTTTTTACTCCCCATTTAGCTGCACTCTTCAGCTTTCACATAAAATTTCCGTAACAATCTTCGATTTTGATCCTGGATTGAAGAGGAAAATTTACAATTTTTTTTATGATCGGCCCTTTTTTGAGGATTTGATTTTTGATTCTGAAACAATGGCGGCTGTAGCAATATTGGAGCTACTGAGAAAGAATCCGAACTTTGGTGGGCAGGCGTTCAATTCAAGAGGGCTATTCTCCCAGAAACTCGTCGGCACCGCCACCGCCACCGCCACCGCCTCCGCCGCTTCTATCGCCGTCAGTGTTCCGTTCTCCGCCGGGAGTTTACTCGGGTGAGGATTTATGAATTTTCATGTATAACTGAAGTTATTTTTCTTTGTGTATACATTTCTGTAAAGCACACATATATATTATTCGAAAAACAACAGTTCGAATCTCTATCTGCATTTTTTTGGGGATTAGGGTTCCTAGCTATGTTTGATCCCATCTTTGCATTGGACTTATAATCGTTGAAAAATTAATCAACTGTATGGACCTGATGAACTTGCACGGTAGGTGTTCGATAAAAGGCCCGACTGAACTACAATATAACTCATAATTGTTTCGATAGCTGATCGACGTTGATATTATCTGTACACTGGATGTTATTTCTCAGTGATGGAGCAACGCAATATGCATATTGCGATGCTGGTGGCAGAGATTATACTTCTAATTATCAGACCATATCGAGAAATCTCTATCGAAAAGATGCATTGACGTACAGTTACAGTACCAAGCGGGACTATATTCAGTTGAAGTCGGATTCTCGGGGTCTAATTGGGAGAATCTTGCCTGATATCGCTGAGGTCCTTTTTGAGGTTC